TCAAAACGAGTGATACAGTAGCTTACTGTTGCTGTAAATCTGGAAAACAATCGCAGCTTTGGACAGCGTTTTTCCAGGAAATCACTTCTGGAAATCAACTTTGAACGCGGCATTAAAAGCGCTTACAAATATCCAAGTTCGGTGAATGCCACCTGGAGTACCACAACAATTCCAGAGGGAAACTCGACGATGAAAAATGTGCATGTCATGAAAATTACAAGCGATGTCGTTTTGTCGGCTCTGAAAAAATATAAATATACTTTCAGAAGAACAGGCCCTGTGGCCTAACTTTGTCAACGTGTTTTTTAGGCCATGGTGGCCCCGCTTTCAGATTTTTCAGACCACCAATTTTTTTTGGCATAGAAATGACCTGATATTCATCTGGTGTATTTTCTAGGCAACTTTAACATGATGGCCTAACTTTTCCAATTTGGGTTTTCTAGGCCACCAACGATTTTTAGCCCAAATTCTATTGGTGGCCTAACTTTCTCAGCATGGCTTATCTAGGCGACTGTTGGTTATGGTCAAAAATCGCTTAAAAGGTACCAGATGTGTTTTCTAGGCAATTTTAACATGATGGCCTAACTTTTGTGAGTCGGGTTTTCTAGGTCACCATACTAAATGGCCTAGAAATGACCCGATATTGGCCTTATAGGTTTTCTAGACCATTTTAATATGTTGAACTAACTTTTGTAATTTGAGTTTTCTAGGCCATCATAGTAAATGCCCTAGAAATGATCGGATATTTTTATGTTTTCTAGGCCATATTTATATAGTGGCCGAACTTTAGCAAGTTGGGTTTTCTAGGCCATTATTTTTTATTACCTGAAAATGACCTGATATTCCTCGGATGTAATTTCAAGGCAAATTTAACATAGTGGCCTAACTTTCGGATTTTCTAGACCACCATGGTAAAACTCACTTTCTCTTTTTCATAAAACTTCCAGTCATCATCCTCCCTCGATCCGTTTTTTTGATCTCATTAATCAATAAAAAAGTCAACAATGGCAACAAAATACATGGTAAAATTTTGGAAGCAACTCCATTTAAAAACATATAAATTTTCCCAAAAATCCCATTGAATTCTGTAAACAGAGCAGATGGAATTTGAATATATGAAGGTACTGGAGTCGTTTCGTTATTCACAATTCCACAATCTTTCGGTGGATTCCAGTTGCCATTGTAAATAATATTATAACGAAAATAATAGATTATGGAAAAGGGGATACTGGCCAGAAAACAATTAATAGAGGAACGGAAACCGTATAAGGGGAATGCATAGTGTTGGAATTTCGTTTGGGTGCAAAATTTTAAATTTATATATCTGACAAGGGCTAGGAGCACTCCTAGCCATGTGGAAGTTCTTCGGACAAGTTCTCGAATATTTATGAAAATCCAAAAAATGTACAATTGGTTTTCGGAGAATGGACGGAGGCTGGAAATGCTGACATGTTGCATTTGTGGATTTAGAATTTTAGAATTTTAGAATTTTAGAATTTTAGAATTTTAGAATTTTAGAATTTTAGAATTTTAGAATTTTAGAATTTTAGAATTTTAGAATTTTAAGAATTTTTCCAATTTTTCGAAATTCAAAAAAAATTCAAAAAATTCAAAATTTCAAATTTCAAAGAATCCATTTTGCAAATTTGAAAATTCAAAATCCCGAAAATTCAAAAAGTTCGAGTTCTCAATAGAGCGCACTTACCATGGATTATCATCATCCTCATTATAAATAATCCAAGAATAAATGATTGTCGCAATCATTGCAACAAAATCACAAAGACCAATTCCAATCATAATTGAAATTACAGATGTTGTCATTATCGATTTTCTTTTTAAAATTATTAAATGAAAAAATGTAATAATTAGACCAATTATAGCAATGTAGAATTGAATTTGAATCGTTGGATGGGCGATGAATCTGAAACCAAAAAATATTGAATTTTTGAATTTTCGAAATTTTGAATTTCAAAATTTCAGAATTCTGTAATTTCAGAACTTTGGAAGTTCAGAATTTCAGATTTTCTGATTTTCTGAGATTGAAATAACTAACTCAAAAACTTGGACAACATTTCTCAAGAATAATTTATCCTCCGAGTCAGGAAACCAATAATTCGCTTGGTCCAAAATCGTCGTACTTGTTTCCATTTTCTTTGAATTGTTAAAAAATCGAAAAAAATAGAACGGAAGTCAACGGATTCCAGGTAAAAGGAAATGAGGAAATCGAGTTTTTTGATTGCCAATTATTTTTTATTTCTCAAAAACAATAGAGTATGACAGAAATCATAATCAAATTGTCACCATTTTTTTTTCGAGATTATTTTGACTGAAAAAAAAATGAAAACAATAGAACGGGAAATCACTTTAGAATGAGAATTTTCTAGACTCTTGTTGAAAAAATTATGGGAAAACTGAAAAAAAAAACAAATGTTCACCCGAATTCGTTTTTTCCCTGCAGGTATTCAAGTTCCTGGTGTTATTATTGTATACCTTTTTGTTATTTCATAGGAAAATCTAAAAATCCGAAAATCTGAAAAAAAAACTGAATAATATAAAAATCAGTAATTTCAGGAATTCAGCAATTCTAAAATTCGGATACCCAGAAATTTCCTATATTCAAACTTTTGAAAATTAGAAAGTCTGAAATTCCAAAAGTTCTGGCATTCAGAAAGTATTGAAAAACTGAAATTCAGAATCGCAGAAAATATCGGAAATTAGATTTTAAAAAACAGAAAATGTAGAAATTGGGAAAAAATCCGTAATTAAAAATAAAATCTCAAGATACCGTAAAACCTGTATTAGAAGGGCCGGCCCTTCTATTTTTCCAAGCTCCTCTCGGAGGACCCTTGGGCCCTTCTAATACAGGTTTACGGTATTACCAAAAAAACGACCGGAAACATTAAAAAATACAGTAAAAAGATAAGAAATGTTAAATTTAAAATCATAGAAATAAAATTATCAACAAACTTCCAAAACTTTCATTCTTCCTTGACTAAAACTAGCAAAATTCGTTTTTGATTCTCAGAAAAAAAACGCTCGGAAACAAAATAAATTGTATAAAAAACAAGATATTTCTGAAATTCAATGAAAAGTATATTTTCAGAAAAAAACTGAATTTCCAATTTCATACTCAAGAACAGTTTCAAACTGAAACAATTTTGTAAGGGTCTGAAAGCCTCTTGTTACTGGATTCTCCATGGTAATCAGTGCCACTGCTTGTAGTCGGATTCCTTCGCACCATGGCGTGCCTTTCTCTCGGGACTTTGCCACAATCATGAAATACCATTCCCTCTTGTGTCATAATGGCTCTAAGAGATCAAGACAGGCGCTAAACCCTGAATCATTCCAAATTTCAATGAGGATTTCCATCGCCCCCACTGCTGCGGAAGCTCCAGACAGCGGCTCTGCGTGATCACCATCCTCTCTAAGTATATTCTTCCTATTCCATTATCTATTCCGTCAACATTTATCACCATGTGTCAGCATTTTATGTAAATCCCGCCCCCGAATTCCATCTATCCCCGATTCGTATATAATCCCTCTCATGTATCCCAGAAGTCAAGACAGAAGATTTTTTGTAGGATTTTTGTAGCCAGGTTATGCATTCTACCGTGACGGTGCACAACGCTTAATGTCACTCTGCGTACAACTGTCATCCTCGCCTTTATGTATGCAATCGGTATATCTTGGTTCCTCTGAAAGATATCAAAAAGTGGTTAACGGATAAAATGTTAAGCTTGTTATCACTAACATTTTATGAGTTGACCACTTCTTGATATCTGTTACAGGAAACGAGATATAGATTCTTTAAAAAAAGCCAAATATTTTTATTTCATTTATTAATCGACGAAACGTTCACTAAATTAATTTGGGTTTTTTCTTTAATACGTAATAATTCTTTCGCAGTTTTTCGATAAGCATATGACATAAAAAAGCAAAACAGAAAATGAAAAATTCCATTTAAAATTGTGAGCAATTTGAAGAATAGGGATAGTCTTCTGGTGACGAATCTGAAAAACTTTGTATTCTGAATTCAAAGTTAAAGCTTCTTTTTCAAAACTCACACTAATTTATCGTGCTCAAAAAAATAAAATTCGACAAGGTGGCATATTGCTAATGGTCCATAAGAAATTAGAAATGTTACAGTAATCCCAATAACCAATTTTGTGGATCGATCTCGATCAATTGTAGAATTTCCCATGGCCGATTTCCTCGCTTTTTGTAGTTCAAAAATCAATAAAAATGTGAAAATTGGAAGTAGAATACATGGAATTAGTTCGCATAGAATTCCTCGAGCTACCAACGATTTCTGATAAATGTCTTCTTCTTTCAGTCCAAATATTTTGATATCTTTGATAATATATTCCATTCTGGTGTAGTTTTCTACAAGATTTGAGCAGTAGGGTGGTGGAATCCACACCTCAAATTCATCAATGTAATTTTGGAAATATCCAATTATCCAAAATGGAGAATATAGAAACGTTATGATAAGCAATACTCGAATTCCATTTTTGGATTCTGCTAGGGAGGAAATTCTGAAAAAAATTTGTAAAAAAAATCTGTCTGTGTGTCTGTGTGTGTCCTCACCTCAAATTCATCGGATTTCTCATAACCAATGCTCTCAACAAGGCTATAGTAACACCATACCATACAGACATTTGCACAGCCATTGTTCTCGTAGGGACACAAAATAAAAAAGCAACCAAAGTCAGATAATAATCTGGTCCTAGGCTGAAAAATTGAAATCATCGGGACACACAGACACACAGATGTCGATTCCTCGTAAATTCTCAAATAGAAGCCCACCCTATATGTGCACTTTGAGCTCAGTTATCTCGGTTCTTGTAAGTGATATCTAACATCTGTCAATTGATAATTTATTTATCATATTATCCCCAATATTTTATCAGTTGACAAAATTTTGATATCTTTTATAGGAACCGAGATAATTGAGCTCAAAGTGGGCGTATAAAGAAGGCTTCTATCGGAGATAAATATGATAATACCATTCACCAGGAATATCTGAATTTCGTATATACATTGCGGAAATCGTTGGCCAAACAAGATAAATTTCACAAATCATTCGAATCAAGTCCCAAATTCCAATTCCAAGAAGGAATATATTTACAGTAAAAACTCTCATCGATTTTTTGGAAAGTATTAAAATATGGAAAACGTTACAAATTATTCCAATTGAAGAGAATACAAAAGCCAATTTATCAAAGTTGTCGTCAATGAATCTGGAAATTTGAAAATTTGAGAAGTCAGAAATCTGGAAATTCTAAAATTCAAAAAATTTAGAAAACCGGAAATTGAAAAATTCGAATAATTAAGAATTTCCAAGACTTCAGAAATTAGAAAAATCAAAAATTGAAAATTCTGAAAATCTGAGATTTGTTTAAGCAACAAAAAAAAACTCACACAAAAAACCCAATAACAAGAACCTTCAATGGTTTTGGAAGGTTTTTAAAAATCGATAATGAATAATCTTGATAATCTATATTAGAAGACATTGCTGCTTTTCTTCGTTATACCGGAAGCAGATTTTTGGCTTGTTTCGAAAAAAAATGAGAAATTTTGTTTTTCTCACTATTATTTTTCGTCATTATCATTATTTTTCGTGACATCTTACAGATTCAGAGGTTACAGATTTTTGTGAAAAACAAGATTTTTTCCAATTCAATTCCAAAATTTTCTACTGATTTTTGATTGTAAAAGTGAAGGGGGAGAAACAGCCAGATTGAAAACAAGAAATGGTCCAGCAAGAAAAAAACTGTTGTGAAAACCAAAAGTTACAAGAAATTAGCTGGAAAAAGGCTGAGAATGATGTATCTGACCAATTTTTGGGAATGCAAAAACTGCAATTTCAAATTTTAGTTTCAAAAAATGTCTCAATTTTTGATTTCAAATTGTTGAATTTTTGAAACTGGAATTCAGAGTTTCAGAAATTCAGAGTTTTGAAAAAAAAAACTTACAACAACAAATTCATAAAATCATACAGAATCAGTCTTGTTAAATTTTCAGAATTCGGAAAAAATCGGTTTGCCATCGTCATATGTAGTCGTTGAAGTCTCCATTTCTTCTGGAAAAATCTGGGAATAAAAAAGCCGGAAAAAAGAGGAAAATT